TTTTTTAACTTGAAGTACTAGAATAACTAAAACTAAAGAAAATTCATACATAAATTAATTGTTAATAATAATAATAAATTAATTAATAAAAGTATAGAGACATTAAAATAAAAAAAACTAATGAAAATGGCTAAAACAACTAAATTACTATAATTTTAGCTAAAATGAAAGTGAAAATAAAATGATAAAAAATTAATAAAAACATTGTTTTTACTTGTAATAAAATAAACATTAATTGAAATAAAGTATATTTCACTTATTTCATTTAGTAGCCAATGCAAAGGCAACATTTCTCATTTTCTTTTAGTTTAAATTGAAGTACTAAAATAACTAAAACTAAAGAAAAATGCATAAATAAATCAATTGTTAATATTAATAATTATATATAATTTTAACATTCTTAATACAATTTAATTTATTAGTACATTAAAAAATTACATTTAATTAATAAAAAAATATAGACATTTAAAAAACGAATGAAAATGACAAAAACACAAAAAAATTACTAAAACTGAGCTGAAATTAAGATGAAAATAAAATAATCACAAATTAAATGATCTTTAACTGAGCGTAATCTAAAACCATAAAAAAAATTTTTTTTTAATACATTTTAATGAAAATTAATTAATGAATTAATTAATGACAAAAACTCAATAAAATTACCAAATCTTTAGCTAAAACGAAAGTGAAAAATAATTAATTCAAAAATAAATCAAATTTAAAATAGAAGCAAATATGATAGTTATTGTGTTGGGTCACTACTTGATGTCCAGGATCAAATCTGGGGACTGAAGAGACGTCTGACAGAAACGCAGAAGTGTGAGCTCTTCGTTCTGAGAGTTTTCTGTCTTGTGTTCAGAATCTGGGTCCGTCGGTTCTGGCCGGTGTGGCCGTGATGGTTCTGCTGATCCCATTAAACGCTTTCATCGCCATGAAGACCAGAACTTACCAGGTTTGGCTCTCTTCTCTTCTCTTCATTAGCATCGAGTTATCGTGCTTATCCATGTTTGCGTCTGCTCTGAGGTTTTCACAGCTTGTGCTTATCAGACTTTCACATTTAGGTGACGCTTCTAGCGAGCCGTCGTTTCCTCTTAAAGAGACAGATCGCAAATTAAACTGGAAACAAAACACCATGTGTGAAGTCATTTCTGTCTGTACGCCACACCAGGCTTATTATAGTTCATTAAAAGTATAAAAAAAACATGTTTGTGTTTTTTATACTGAAATAAAATAACATCAAAACTTGATAAGAATGGTCAAGTTTCACATTTAGCCAATGCTGTCTTAATAGCTCAGCATATTGTTGGCAGTTTATGTTTATATTAATACATTTCAGTGTTTGAACACTAATATTTTGGTTACTTTAGTAAGCTGAACACAGTTATGGTCATGATTATTATTGTTAACTAAAACCATTTAAAAAAATATTTGCGTTACTTGAAATAAAATTAAATATATAAAACAAAAAATGTTATTCTATCTAGTTGCCAAGGCATCATTTCTCATTTTTATTTAATTTATTTAATCTCATTTTTGTCTGTTATTATCTATAGGATGTACTTAACTGAAACTAAAATGAACATTTATATTAAAAATGTATTAAAAAAATATATAAAACTAATAAAAAATATTCCAAGTTAAAAAAAAAAAAAATTAGAGCTCCATCACACAGGATGTTGATTTTGGCAGAAAATGAAATGAAATATTCAATTAAATTCAAATTTTTAATTCAAATTTTTAATTTAATTAAATTACATTTGTATGAGACCACCATATATAATAAAGAGTTTTTGGCAGCATTAGTGAGGCAACATTATTTTCACATTTAAATTACATGCAAGGCAACATTTCTCATTTTTATTCAGTTTCATTTGATGTACTTAACTAAAACTAAAATGAAAATGAATGCAATTTTATATGAAACATTTATAAAACCCAAAACTAATACAAATGACAGAAATGCACAACAAAAAGACTAAAACTTTAACTGAAATTTAAATGGACAATATAAAAATAAAATGTAATTTAAAATATGAGCAAAGCTGCTTGCATTGGTCGGCACAGGTGGAGCAGATGAAGCATAAGGACGACCGCATCAAGCTGATGAACGAGATTCTCAACGGTATAAAGGTGCTGAAGCTCTACGCCTGGGAAGTCTCCTTCAAGGAGAAGATCCTGCAGATCCGGCAGAAGGAGCTGGCTGTGCTGCGTAAGACGGCGTATCTCAGCGCTCTCTCCACCATGGCCTGGACCAGCGCGCCCTTCATGGTACCTTACCGCTTTCTGTGCGGTTTCGTGTGTCTGCTGGAAATGCAAAGTGCTTATCTTTGATATGCCTAATGATGTGGTAGATCCCTATCTAGGTGTCGAGTTGCCGGCTCACGTTTCAAAAGTGCATTAGCCGATGTGATTAATAAGTCTAGTTTGTGCACTTCAAACACAGCCCTTTGTTGGAGTTTTTTAGCACTGACTGAAGTGGAAACCTGTCATGATTGTGCTGTGATGTGCTGCAGGTGGCTCTGACCACGTTTGCGGTGTACGTGACTGTGGACGAGGAAAATGTCTTGGATGCAGAGAAGGCCTTTGTGTCTTTGTCTCTGTTCAACATC